TATATCCGAAGAACAATGAACAACACAGGTACCGTTAGTATTAAGTTAAAAAAAAAAATGACAAGAGATTCTGGATTCATAAGAGTTTGAGTTTTTCATTACTAAAGAGTTTTAAGAATGCTCATATTTTATGAGAAAAAATAAAAATAGAACAAGGACAAGAAATATTAAAAAGAACATTGTTTCACTGTAAATTCAAACAGTCTAAACTGTTCCAGGTATTTCCAAATATTTCATGTTTTAATTGGCTTCCCAGGGCTACAAGTCACAACCACTTAATCTTGTATTGATTTTCTAAGATGCTTCCTGTTACTATGACTACCCCCAATCAATTAACTTCTTATTAGTAGCAAGATAATTTTCTTTCTTGTTTCTTTCCAATGAAGTCTGAATAATTTATTTCCACAAAAATATCTGTTGTTGCCTCTTATCTATCAAGGAACTACATTATGTTGGTAAAAATGTTTGAGGCCTTTTGTTTAAAAATGTGTTTACAGATTCTGCACAGAGAAAGCATACAGAATTGCCTTGGACCAATATCATGAGTGGTTTATCAATCTGTGGTTGTATTGATAAAAGTTCTCTTTGGCTACGGAAAAGTGCCTTTCACTTGGCCTTTATCACAGGGAACTGAGAGGCTGGCAATTACTCAAGGAGGATTTTCACTGGGAAGAAGAAAATCGTTCTGCCATAGGTCAGCCATTGTGACTTCTTTAGTTAGAATTGTATTCCCTAACCCCAAAACAAATTTCACTCATAGTATAGCATGAGGATTTGGCATGGGGGAGCGAAGTTACTATAATCTGAGCCTACCCGCTTTTTCTTAAACACAGCCCTGGAAACAATAGAAACAAGATTCAGGAGAGACACTGGTCTTTGGAGTCAGACAACCTGGACTCACGCCTTTATGTCATTTGAGAAAATTTGGTTAACTCTCCTAAACACCCTGAAGTTTCATTTCCTGTCCTACCAAATGAGATCAATATAGTTACTCCATGGTAGTATGGGGGCTCTCTAAATCTAACTTCTCCATCCTTCTATCCAAGTCCTTTCTTCTACTCAAGAGATCTTTCCAAAACAAAGGAGTGATCAGGTCACTTGCTTGTCCCAAACCTCCCCCATGTCTGGAGAACACAGGACAAATCACATAGAATGCCATCCTCCATCCCATTGAAACAGTTCTCAGCCAGCCTTTCTTGGCTCATCCTCTGGTCATTTGCCTCAATTCACTTCTTGGTCTAGCCACCTCAAAACAGATTTATCATGTACCTTCAATGCTTTACAGCTGTATGTTTGTTCAAAGCACCTTCCCAAAGTTTTCCTGCCCAAAATGTTCTTCCTATCCTTGTCCACTTAGCAAACTCTTGCTCATCCTTCCAGGCCAAGGATATCCCCACAGTCATCACCTTTCCAACTGTGCCTGGAGTTTCTCCCCAAGAAAACAAAGATTAATTTTCACTAGGTGAAACAATCTCATTTTTCATTTGGCTTCCAACATGAAAAAAATATTTTATTTGGCACCTAACATGAAAATATCTAGATGCTACTTAACCACACAGTGAAGTGATAAAAAAAAAAAAATGCAATCTGTGTACTGATAACCTAAGCACTAAAAGCAAAAGATCATGTAATTCAGATCCCAAAGTCGATCAGCTTTAAGTCTAAATAGTCTAAGTAGTCACTGAATTGTGAGAAAACCAGCACACATGCAGAAAAATATGTCACCTGCCAAATAAGCTTATCCATATCAATTACTTTGAGCATGGCCATCACCTGTTAGGTACAAGATATATCATTTCTAATTTAATACTTTAAAATTGGTATAAATGAATAGACTGAGATTCAAACAAGGTAAGTAATTTGCCCAAGTATTTAGTATGTAGCAGGCTTGTCATCCAAATCCAGGCCTATCAGCCTCTAAAGCCTATTCTATTTCCACCCTTCCACATTATCTCCCTATTAACCTTGCACTTTGATCATAGGTAGGTCTTGAAAGCAATGGTCTATGTGTCTTTCTCCCAGGTCTCAGGTGCTATCTCTAGCCAGGTCACTCAAAATACTCTTGCTTGAGAAAAAGGGGGTTGGTGTGTGCATTTAGATAGGTTATACCTAAAGAAGAAAAGAGATGGGGCCTCTGCAAAGCACAGTTGCCTCATCCCATTAACAATACACATTATTAAAGTAAGTTTTCTTCCTGGCACTAGACCCATTGATGACCTTTCTCATTCTTACTTCAACTCCTTAGAGTATTTTTTTATGTTTGCCTGAATAAAAGTAACATATTATAGCAAGATTATAGCATGATATAAATTATCGCTGAGTTATTAAAGATATCCCCATCTCTTAATTTCCCTGACTGGGTTCATCGGAAGGTGTTTACTATTGTGCTAGTACTGGTAGTCTTGGTGATGGTAGTAGTTGTGTTTAGCAACCTAAAATTGCGTACGTATCTTACTTCAAACCTTTTTTTGGTCTTATGTTAATCTCAAAAAAAGTTTACTGATGCTTTGCATGAAACATGGATCAAGGCAACAATGTCTCTCACAGAGCTTATGCAAAGTAAAACAGAGGAATGATTAGAAAAGTCAAAATGTTACTTCAGTAGAAGACAAACTAGGAAATCATGCTTGTCTCAATGAATGGAACCTTTTTAGTACATCTTGGAATTACTATTTTTTTAAATCTAGATATAGATATAAACATAGATACAAGATAGACACGTAGATACAGAGCATTTAAAAATCAATCCAAACTGGAGGAAAACTGAGTTTAAAGGTTAATAACAGGGGCCCTGGGTGGCTCAGTTGGTTAAGCATCTGCCTTCAGCTCAGGTCATGGTCTCAGGGTCCTGGGATGGAGCCCCGAGTCGGGGTCCCTGCTCAGTGGGGAGTCTGCTTCTCCCTCTCCCTCTTTCTCCTCCTCTCTCCGCCCCTCCCCCACCAGCTCATGCTCTGTCTCTGTCTCTTTCTCTCTCAAATAAATAAACAAAATCTTTTTTAAAAATAAAATAAATATTAGTAACATGTCAAATTTATTCCCCATAAAGATTTCCTTTCTTTTAAGTGGCTTCCCAGTTCACAACCGGGGGAAATCAACCCTGCTTCCTCAGTCTGGGTCCTGGGAGAAAGGAAAGAGGACTGAAACCTTCATGGGGAATAGAAAGAAACAAGGCAGCCAGCACAGGTCCCCACCTGAGGAGGGGATCCTTCTCTCTCCAACACAAACACAGAGATTTAAATTGACTGTAGTTCCTATCTTGCTGACACTTAGCACTTAAAGAAATTTGGATTGTGGCCATGGCTAATGGGGAAGCTCCCAAACATGTCCCGGTTGTCAGTTCTCCCTCCTGGACTGACTTATAACACTACTATTGAATGACTCCATAAAGCATGTAAGTTAGCAAATAACAAGATACTGAGTCTATTCTTGAGGTGGTTTTTTTTTTTTCAATTTCTACAAATAATATGAGTTCTCCAGTTCTTCCTGTAGCTGAAGGCCTAGCCTATCCATCTTGCAAAAAAAGATGACAAGTTAAATTAAAAAAAAAAAAGATAAAACAATTATGAAAGGCTAGATTGCCATTCTGTGCTAAGTAACATGGTTGTGGTACCCAATTTTCTTTATAAAGCGAAGGACACTTTCCACACTGCTGGCAATAGTGCAGAATTAGGACTGATTCCACATGAAAAATGCATTTCCAAACATGCTTATCCTGTGTCCTCTCTCAATCCCTATTAACTGTCTCTATGGAGTTTTAAAAAAGATGTTGTTTAAGATAAGACAGGAGCACCGCTGACTCACCCAGAGCAAGTCAGGAAACCTGCATCAGGAAAAAGCTATGCAAAGAAAAAGGATCAGTGTGCCTTATTCACTTCAGGGGCAAAATCCAAACTGTGAATTCAATTTGGTTAAGATGTCCTGCTACCTGGAGAAATGGACCATTTTTAGTTGAGTCATCAGCCATCAATTTAAATGCCTACAGACACAGTCAGAAATTACCATGGAACAGAGATCTGGATAATTTTGGCTATTCAACATGAAAAAATAAAGTCTAGCATTCTGGCCTAATGAATGACAAAGATATAATTAGTCATTTTAAAACAAGGGATATTTTCAGTGGTAAAAGTTACAAAAATTAACTGTTGACTTGCAAACTTCTAAGATACATGTTGAATATACAGAGAATAGTAACTAATACCACTCAAGAGTTAATTTGCAAATTTGGTAAAGAATTTAAGATTTATTCCATAAGTATTATATACAAAGTACTGTAAAGCAAACCACAGAAAGTGGAAGGACATCCTAAAACTTAAAAAGTAGGTTTATGACATGTCACTAACTAATAATTGATTTTCCACTTTATAGTTCCGAACGAGGTTAAGAGTCGTTCACTGGAAGAAGCACCATTCCTATGTCAATTCCATGTGATGGGCCTTCCACCAAAACAACAACAACAAAAACCCAAATTAAGTCTAGAGAAGTAATTCAAAACAGTGATTCCAAATCTTAGATACCAAAATGCATATTGATTGATTGCTTTTCTAACAGCTTTTTGGGCAACATGAAGATATTAATGATCATATCCCTAATTCAGGAGGTTAAATGGAATAGTAAAACAAATATTTAGCTAATAATTAATATACACAGAAAAAGAAAGAGAAACAAAACAAAAAAGCCTAAATAGCTAATAATTAAAATCCAAAATGTGCTCTTTGTTCTGATTATCACGATAAAAATCTCAGGTCATCACCCACATTTATGCTTAGACATAGTGAGGTTTGTACCTAGTATTACGAACCCCATCTATTAAAAGGTCCATATCTTTCAACTTTTCTTCTATAATCCTTTGTCCAGTTAGTGTTTTAGTGTTGGTGCTTAAAAACTATTTTTAAAAAACGTTTTTATTATTCTTTAAGTAAGACATTTTGTCATTCTAACACATTAGATAAGAGAAGTCAAACACGAAAGACTGAGAAACTGGGTAATTTGTCAATTTTTACCTGAAGGCCTTCAATAGCCAATCGCAGCATGCTTGGTGTAAGTTTGGAGGCTTGCTTGAAGGTGAAGTTACTCCAGTCTATGATCAAAACAAATCCATTCACCTGAAGCTCAGGATCTTCAATCATAGCTTCTAAAGAAAGTAAGATGGCACGCAAAATATCCACCAGTGTGTACCTATCAGCAACAGAAATGGACTACATTAAATCTAACAACCACTTTTGTCAAAGCTATAGAAAGTGTTTAGCACACTGAAAATTCCTTTTAAAATACCTCAGGAGTCTGAAGATAATTTTGTTTAGAAATCTTCTTCCAAGAGGAAATTTATTTGCTGCACTCCAGGGACATATTAGAATTTAACATGTATTCTCCCCAAACAAACTAAAATACTTTTGAAAATATTTTGTTTCATATTTTACAACCATTTCCTTTACCTCCAGGCCTTCCTATGATTTTCTAAAATCTCATCTCACCTATCCTGAAAACTAGGCATGGTATTTTTTGAAGCAGCTCAAGAATGCCCTCAGTAATATTGACATTTCACACCTTCACATTTGGAAAAGTTGAGAATGAGATTTGAAGGAGTTCCACCAATAAACAAGAACACTAGGGTAAACAGCTGTGGTTAAAAATGTCAGCAGATTTTAATTACTCATATGGAGTTAATATCATAAAGATGCAATGAAAGAAAGAAGGATACGGGATTGAGTCTTTATCTTTTTCAGCCTTGCACCTTAGCACAGTGCCTGGCACATTGTAGGAACCCAATTAATGCTCCTTACGTTCCTGTAGAATGGGAGTAGACTAGAGTGCCAAGGCACTAATTAGAGTAAGATACTGCCTCAGCGAAGGCAACAGAACGAAGAGCAAAGAAAAAAAGCCAAATTTGAGAAGTATTTTAGAGGTCAATTTGTTAAAATGTAATACTTAATTAGACACAGAGACTAAGATTGAAGGAAGAGTAAAAGATGACACAAAGATTTTCTAGCTTCAGAGCCTGAATAAATGGTAAAATCTTTCATCAAAATCAATAGTGCAAGAAGAGGGTACAGTTGGATGATCTGAAAATGTAGAGCTTGGAATAAAGCCCATTGTAGTATTGGTGAGAAGTATGTAGTACACCCAGAAAGATATATCAAGTAAACATCTGAAAAAGTAGATCCTAAACTGAGGAGAAAGCTCAAGGGGGAAAATTCCAAAGTCAAAAACACACAGATCCTAAGTTCAAGTAAGTGAAGGAGGTAACGTAGTCAGAGCTGAGAAGAAAATAAAATAGTTATTCAAGAAGGGGATCCCAGCATTTCAAGAGGAATCACCAAATTTATGAAAATGTTAACATTTCAAGTTTTTTCCCCTCACATATTCAGGTGGAGACATCTAGCAAAAGCTAGAGAAAGAAATGTTGACCTCAGGAAACAGGTGGGATGGGGAGGACTGGTAGATTAGGGGTAGAAATCCCTTCGATGAAGACAGTATGAGATAGTGAGTACATATGAGGGAGTAGTTCTATTTTTCACTTCTAGAAACATTTGGAGGCGAATGGAGAAAGCATAGTAGTCCAGAAAGGAACTTCAGGTGATTTTTCACTTGCTCTGGGTCTCATTTCCTCATCTGTAAAATCAGTAGTTTGGAATAGAATCCCTTTGGGATCCCAGCATTACTCAAGCCTACGGCACGGTGTCAGAAGACTTCAGGATGGAATCTCTTCCCTGTCCTTCATTAGCAGTGTGGTCCTGGACACGCCATTGATCTATAATTCTGAGGCTCAGTTCCGTTATATGAAAAAATGGAAGTACCTATGATTAGCTTACTCGATCTCACTGGCCGTGGGGGGCAGGGGGGGCAAGTTAAAGACACAATTCAGGGGAAAGCAATTCCACAGTGCTAGGTATACAGCAAGTGCTCAGTAAATGTTGGTTGGAATAGATACAGAGCATACTTTTTATTGTAATGGTAACCATAGACATAGTGTACTAAGCAGGATATAATCAGAACTAAAGGCTATTTGTACATTATACTTAAAAATTAATGATGATCTTTAGATAGCTTATTACTCTTATAAAAGGCAAGGATCAAGAGATTATTTTTAAACCTTTGGAAGGTATACAGCCTATCTTACAGGCATAAAGATATGGCATCCCAAAATACTTCCTGAACATGTAAGATAATAAAATTTTGTGTAGAGTTCTATTACCTATTTGTCTTTAAATCTGTAAAATATGTATGGTTGAATACCTTATTTGTCACTCCTTGGCTGGCCTATCTCCTCTATGCATATAATAGCCTAACACAGTGTTATGACAAAAAGCCTATAAACCTACACAGACTGGAAAGATGGAGGAGGAAGGCTATATTTCTGGTTTAAATTTGGAGACCTGTTTAAAAAAATACTCATTTTAATTCCTGAAATTCATAATAATAATTTTTCTAATTTTTAATTAGAAAAGTCCAATTTAGAATTTCTCCCCATTATGATTATTCTTATGTTACCCATAAGAACACCAAACAGCATTAATAATACCAAAATAGCATTAAGTAAAACTTGACTCTGAAATCAGCTTTGGAAGGATGATGTATTATATCCAGTGAGAATAAACCATAGCACCAGTAAAGGCAGACATCAAAAGGCAATTTGTTTTAAACAACACATTTTAAGAATGGTTTTCCAAAACTGAGGTCAAATCAAGAGAAAAATTTACAGACATATCATTATTCCCAAGGAAATACAGTAAGGCAAATCCCATGATCAGAGATGAAGAAAAGCAGCTTTGCCAAGTTTTCAAGAGCAAATTTCACCAAGTTTTTAAATTTATTATCTTTCTTCAAAAGGAGAATCAAATGATCCTTATATAAATCATTTTGATGTCCAAATTGAAGAAAAGAAACATTAAAACATCTTAGCTAACCGCATTCAAAGGGCAGGTCAAAACCACTCTTGACACTCCAGTCCTCTGTTGTCAAACATGTCTCATTACTACCATTAGCAGCTCAGCAGGCTCTTCATAAGCAGAACATTATTACATGAGATCTTGCTAAAGTCTGTCAGATATCCCCAAAGAAATGGAGGATTTTATGAATTTTACATCTTCTGGAATCCTACTTTCATTCTTCTCTTTGAAATCATTTTTTAACTGTTACAATCTACAAACCTGAGGCCATTACAATAAGTATGCTCGTGTTTGAGGTTTATCTCCCAACTGTAGGAGCTCCACCATTGCTATTCTTCCCTTGTACGTTGGAAGAAAGCCATAAATAACAAACTAGCACATTAATGCAGCTCTCGACTCTTGATTGTGCTTCTCAAAACAGCATTAAGTAAAGCCTGCATCTGAAATCAACTTGGAGAGGATGATGCATAGCAGGTAGTAAGAAGAAATAATAACAACAGTAAGGGATTTTACAACCGGGACGCCAGACTATATAGACCATTGCTCTTGAAAGACAGCAGAGCTCCGATAATATGTAAAAACCGTATGGAGAAGACGGACACCTGTATCTCCTATTTGCTACGGATACAGTCAAGAGCAGGGAAGCTTGTTCTCTTGCCTCTGGCCATGCAAGGATTGGGGGTGCTGACTGACCTGTGCTGTCCTGGGGCTTACAGAGTGGCGTCCTCTACAACTTATAATCCGTGGAAAGAGCAACCTAAATCACAAACAGGTCATTTCCTTCCCATTCCCCAACCTTTTCTTTCAGTTTGACAAGGAAAAACTGGCATCTGGGCATCACATTGAACAGCACAACAACAAGCAATTTCCCTTTGTCACTAAATCAATCAACCATTATTAAATTCTTCATTAAGGCTACCCCCACCCCTCAGTTTTCATTAAGCCACATTTCTCATGTCTGAAGCACTTCTTATTAGAAAGGTGCTGAGGGGAAAGACAACAGCAAAGAATTGCCTCTATTAATGCCTCGGGGTATCTTTAGCACTAAAGCTGGTGAACCTATCTAGGTGTTTTATATTACTGAGTGGTAATAATAATACCTCTATCTGTGTAATCGTTTAAGATTTCCAAGGCAATTTCAAATGCATTATCTTAATCTCAAAACAAGCTCAAAGTCTCTATGCTGGCTTTGTTCCTATTATTTTGGAGGTGAGGACACAGTCTCAGAGAATTTGAATGGTTTGCCCAGAATTACCCTGGGAGTAAAGCGGGGAGCCTAGATGAGAAGCCGGGTCTTTCTGACACTTGACTTCTTTGCACTCCCCAGGCTACCTCATACCTAGAACACAGTCTAATGAATAGCTGTTCTGCTTTTTCAGGTCTCTGTGGCATGTGTGTCAGAAGACAGATCGGAAGTCAATACCAACATGTCACCTTGCCAGGTTACAGGGCAAGCTCCAACCTGGCCCCAGCAGCAGGTTTTGGGGAAGGAAAGGCGAGAAGACATTCCTAAGAGTCTGAATGGGAAGAGGAGAGATCTACAAACCCTAGAGAAAATATGAACTCTGAAATAATCATCTGTCTGGCTTATATCACTGAGCACAGAAGATTAACTGTCTGAGCCTTGCTTTAGTTTTACAGCTGTGGGAATGTAGGTGAGTGAGAACAAGTGAATCACTGAAAATGAAACATCTACAGGAATAATGTCTTTCTTTGGAGAAAAAAAGGTAAAACAATGTGCACCTCCTGACATCAGAATAAATAAAATAAAACAAAACAAAATAAAGTAGAACTGTGCTGGAAAAAATGCAAACATCAGAAAGGCAACTCTTCTTTTGAGGGTAGAATACTCTCAGCAAAGTTCTGCTAAGTGCAGTCTTTGTCTTCGGAGATTTATTCCAGCAACTGAACTTTCTAATGGTCTATTCTGATGTTCGGTCAAGATTTTCTAAACGTTAGATGGAATTCTTTCCCGTAGATTTGTTTTTCACTAGACTCCTTTCGGTAACTGTCTATACGCACACAAAAAGTTTGACCAACTCACTTACTAGTTGTATGGTCATGGGTGAGACACTCAACTGCCCAGAGTCTCAGCTTCCTCATCTGCAAAATGTGGATATCAATAGGACCTGCCTTGTAGGATTGTGATAAAGATTTAATAGATTAATGTTGTAAAGGGCTTAGAAGAATACCTGGCCCATCACACATGCTATAAAAGTGTTTTAAACGAATGAATAAATGAAGTAATTAATTAATGAATTAAAATGAAACAATAAAAGGTTAAATTCT